CGGTCCGGGAGGCGGGGCGCGCCTAGACGCGTGCTTAACATGGCCACGCTGCGCCGACTGCAAGAGGCTCCCCGGCACTTACTCGTCTGTGAGAAATCCAACTTCGGCCACGACAAGTCTCGCCATAAACATCTCGTGGAGACGCACTATCATAATTACAGGGTGAGTCAGGTCCACCCGGCCTCCTTGGGCTGGAGAGGTTTAGGATAGAGCTTCTCCGGACTTACCCCGGCGGGACCTCCTCGCCTTGCGGGGGCGGGCAGAGTCCGTCGCCAGGCATGCTGGGAATTGTAGTCTCTTCAGTTTGCCGAGTACCTTACTTGGAGGGGTGTAGGACTACAACTCCCAGCTAAGCCGGATACAGGGCGGTACTCCGCCCTTCAGGAACAGTGGAGTTTTGGTGTTCATTTTTTGAGTTCGACTGGTTAATGCGGGGTTCGTGATTGAGTCTCCCACGGCCCGCGGTAGCTAGGTGAAGGGTTGGACAGGCACGGAGGAGTTAGGAGTGTGACCTGAATAACATGAAGCTGCCTTTCGCCCCAAATTTGGGCTGGTCTCTCCGTAGCTCAGCTTGTGCCTCTTGCCAAAGCATCACCGGGGTTGACAACTAAGGAACGCCAAAAAACCTACCTCAAGACGACAAGGGCTTAAGCATTTTACACCTTAAATATCGGCTTGATACGTTTCTCAGAGACATTAACTGGCGTCCTTGTCCCTCAGGCACAGGCTAGTTGTTGGAGCTTTGTGGGACGGACTTTAGATGTGCTTTTGGGGATCATTTGAAATGCGCGCTGATTTTACGTCTCTGCTTTGTTTGAAATCTCATCACTGCGGTCAAGGGTTATCGCTTATCTTGTCTGGCCTGTTATGTTCGTCTAGGAAATGGAAGCGTCCAGGAGCACTTCTGTTTCTGTGTAGCTTCTTACCAATGGAATGTCCCTAAACTCCCTGTGCTCCCAGGAGCAGTTCCTTTGGTTTCAGTGACTCCAGGGTAAACAAATCAAGGCATGTTGAATTATACTATACTTCCTTGAATATAAAGTGTGAAGGACATAGCATGTATTGCTCATGTGCAAAAGATAAAATTTAAGCAAGACGTCTATTACATTTCTACTTAGTCTCTTGCCTCACATTGCAATGCAGAAGTGAAAAAAAAAAAACAAAAACTTGAGTAATCAAATGTGTTTGCCTGAGATTGATAGCTTAAAAGATTTGGTACTGTCGGGCGGTGGTGGCGCACGCCTTTAATCCCAGCACTCGGGAGGCAGAGCCAGGTGAATCTCTGTGAGTTCGAGGCCAGCCTGATCTCCAAAGCGAGTTCCAGGAAAGGCGCAAAGCTGCACAGAGAAACCCTGTCTGGAAAAACCAAAAAAAAAAAAAAAGATTTGGTACCTAGCAGGGTAGTGCATACCTTTAATCCCAGGCAGAGGTGGGTAGATTGCTGAGTTTGAGGCTACCCTGATACACAATTTCTCTATGAGAAAAAAACCTTGTCTCAGAAAACAATTTTAAGAAGATTTGTTGTCTGTGTTTGTATGTCCCAGTAAAACTTGTAAAGTAATAACTAGCAATTTTCATATTTCACTTCTAAAAACGTAGTGTTAATCTTCATAAAATATAACTTTGTTTGTACTTCTACCAATAGGTTTCATTTCTTATTCCTGAATGTGGGCTGTTATCAAAAGAACTGAAAAGCCTGGTCATGGAAATTGGGCCTTATTACTCTGTGAAGAACTTACCACTTCATGAATTAATTACACATGAGTTCATCCACACCTTTGTAAAGAAAGGTAAGAAAAGGCATTTAGTGCCTCATATGAACAAGGAAGGATGAAGAACTATAGGAAGGCCATAGCAAAATACTGGGGTTCTTCAGTTGTTTTCAAAAGGACCTGTAGAGGCTAGACCATGTGGTTAGCTGCATGCATCACTTCTCCATCTATCCGAATTGTTTGTTCTCCTCTTTCCTGTGTCCTCTTTAGGTGATGGCTACAGATCTTACAAATTTAATTAGCCCTTCCAACAACTCAAGTGAAGTAGGTTGAATCCCTCCCTAGCAGATGAGGAAGATTAAGTAGCTTTTTTTTTTTTTGGTTTTTCGAGAGACAGGGTTTCTCTGTGTAGCTTTGCTCCTTTCCTGGAACTCACTTGGTAGCCCAGGCTGGCCTCAAACTCACAGAGTCCGCCTGGCTCTGCCTCCCGAGTGCTGGGATTAAAGGCGTGTGCCACCACCGCCCGGCTCGAGATTAAGTAGCTTTTGATTATTAACTTGGTTGAGTAGTTTCTGATTTGTAACTTAGAACTTTGCCTCAAAGGTTTGTCCTCTTGCATCTTCTACTGTACACCGTTCTTTCTGCTAGAATCCCCAAGGTTGTGGGTTCTATTCTGAGTCCATTCTCAGCCTGTTGATAGTAAACTTGCACAGAAAGACCCTGCCTGTATGGGTCTAGCTGGAACTTAGCATGTATATATCCCTGGTCTGTATTGGGTTTATTGAGTGGCTTAGAATAGTGCTAGCTACTGACTGTTACCTGGAAAATTTGTTGTCATGTGAAAATAATTCATTAGCAAACATTATGCAAGGTTGAGTTAATTCTTTTTCTTGAATTTCTCTTACAGGTTCATTTTCTGCATTAACATACAATACAAGTATTGATGAAGATAATACTGTTGCCCTCCTACCAAATGGTGACAACATTCATTTTTTTTTTTACTTATTTTTTCAATTATAAAAGAAATCTGTGTGGTTAGAAAAAACAAAATAAAAATTAAAAAAAAAAAAAAAACAACTCTAGGGTGTAGAGAGATGACTTAGCAGTTAGGATCACTGGCTGCTCTTCCAAAGGACCAGAGTTCAGTTTCTAGCACCCACTTGGTAGCTCACAACTGTCTGTAGTTCTAGTTCCAGGGGATCCAGTGCCCTTCCTTGTCTGCCCTCCACAGGCATCAGGCACATACATGATGCACATGTGGGCAAAATGCCCATATACATCAAAATGTAACATAATAATTTTTAAAAAGTCAAATCATGCAGTTCTAAACCGAGTAAAATGAAGCTCCTCCATGAGCTCTAGACTTCCTTCTTAGATGGAGCAGTTTTCCAAAATTTCCTATGAATTTATAGCATAACGTTTTTACTGTTGGTTATATTACCTTGTTTCTCAGTAGTCTTATTTCCCAAGCTGTATGGCATAGACATGTTCCTTCATCAGTGCAAATAGTTGAGACTTAGAACTTTTTGTTTTGTTTTGTTTGGAGATGGGACCTTACCATTTGGCCCAGGTTGGTCTCAGATTTTCATTCCCCTCTGCCTTAGCTTTCCAAGTGCTGGGATTACACATATGAACCAGCGCATCTCTACTTAGCTCTAACACAGTTTTTAAATGACTTGAAGATATTTGAAGTAGGGTCTGGAGAAATGGTTCAGCAGCTAAGAGTGCTAACTGCCATTGCAGAGGACCCAGGTTCAGTTCCCAGTACCCACATGGCAGCTCACAACTCAAGTTCCAGGAGATCTGACACCATCTTCTGATCTCCACAGGCTCTTTGGTGTACTTACATATACCCAGGCACACAAATACATATAACATTAAATTAAATTTAAGTTTAAAAAGAAGGTATTTGAAATTGATGTACAGACCAGAGTTTGGTGGTTTCTTCTTTAATACAAATATAATTATTTCTGGTTTCACGACTGTAATATCTACATATGTATATATGATAGATAATATCACCAAGCATGGTGTCTTACCTCTGTAATCCCTGTATTTGGAAGGCTGAGGCAGGATGATTGCCACCTGTATGAGGCCAGCCTCAGCTACACAGCAAGTTCCAGGCCAGTCAAATACATGGCTAGATAAATCCGTTGTGTTATGAATAAGTTCTTCATATGTACTTACACTCTTGTGTCATTGCCCAGTGTTCCACCTTCCGTAGAGAATATCAGCCATATTTTAACATCTCTCTTATGGGAATTATTATTTGATTTATAGGGAAATTAATTTTATCACTGGATAAAGATACTTATGAAGAAACTGGACTTCAAGGTCGTCCATCTCGGTATTCTGGCAGAAAAACGATGAAGTTTAGTAAGTATTATGTGTGCTCCTCTGGCGTCTAGCAAGTCAGTTTTCTTGTAATAAATGATAAATGTTTGTCACACCTCTGATCTCCGTTCAGAAAAGGGAGGGCTCTTTCTTGCCTTTGAAATCCTGACTCAAGGAGCTGGTGGTTGGGCGGGCGTCCCAGAGGATCAGTTGGCATGGTTAAATTGTTTCTCTTAGCTGTACGCTGCATTTAATAAGGGTTGTAGAACTGGACTGGCCCCTTGCATGCAGTGGAGAGCAGCAAGTTAGTGTGCTTGACACACAGTTTCTTTATGATTCCTAGCAGGAATTCACTCACAAGTGAAGGGGTGGTTTTGATGACATTGTCTGGTGGGAGCCTCAGTAACCAAGGCTGCCACAAACACACAAGATTGAAGTTGATCTCCTGAAGACCTCTGCCCTTGATCTTTGACCTAGGAAGACTTAAAGTATGTAAAACAACTGTAGCTGGCAGCTCTCAACACTAGAAATAGCCCACTGAGGGATATATTTTTGATGAGGCAAAAGGGATGAAGAACAAAATAATCTGTACTATTCATAAACTTAACAAAAAGTCCAATGTTTCTCTACAGTGTAAGCTATGTATACTTTGAATGAAACATGTATTCCTTTTTCTACTTTAAGTTATTTCCATTGATTTAATGGATTTATCCCTTAACCTGGATTCTAAGAAGTATGAAAGAATATCTTGGTCCTTCAAAGAAAAGAAGCCTTTGAAGTTTGATTTTCTTTTGGCTTGGCATCATACAGGTATGAAGTATAAATTTTATAATGATACAATGATTTTGACATCTTATTGTTGGAGAGGTGTAATGGAAGGTTGAGTTGTGATGTATCACTGATGTCAAGGAATATTGTTTACATAGATGTGTGGCGTTGTGGAGGAGCTGTTCTAGCTCTCTAGATGTCCGGAACACCTTTTGTCAGGGTAACCTAGTTCTGGAGCAATCTGCCCCAGTCTTCGTGGGTTTTCTGCAGATGCAGAGATGCACAGTGGTTCAGAACAGCTAACCTGTATCGACTCTCTTCTTTCCCTCCCGTGTACACCAGACGTGGCTAGAATATTGGCTAGAATATTTTAAAGCAGCATCAGTTATATGAGTGTGATATGTTTATCATTATTGCAGGATAGTACCCCAGACAGGCTACTAAATGTCTGATAGCATTTGTTGTGACTTTTAATTGATTAGAATACTGAATTTAGTGCCAGCTTTAATGTTGATCAAGTATATTAATCTGCTTACAGCTTCCACATGTATTGCTCCTTTTAGAAGTCTATCTTTGGCCCATTACCAGATTGTAACAAATCAGATCATTGGGAATTATGGTGGTGTGTTATCACCTTTAGAAGACAGGGAAACAGTCCTTTTTGGAACTCTACCCATCTGTCTGCTCCTCATGGCAAGTTCCTGGACTCTGTCGGCCCTGGATGACTCCTGTCTGTCCAAATTTCATAATGCTTGATGCCTGTCCTCCTTTTGCATATGGTAAATATACAAGAGGAGAAAGATATTTGCTCATGTTTCTGTCACTTGGCAACTTCTCTGAGGATTGTCTGTGCATTGGGTTCTGAATAGCTCCTAATTACTTCCAGAGAAATTAAGAATGGACTGAGATTTTACCCTGTCTACCAACCAGCAAAATCAGCCACAGGTGTCATGGGTCAAAGACAAAGGATTTGATTCATCACAGTGGTAGCAGTTGGCCAGTGTAGAAGCCCTGCTGGCAAGCTAATAGTGTCACTCTCAGGATAAACCAAAGGCCTGAGAACCTGGAGCCTGATATCCAGAAGCAGGAGAAGCTGGGTCTCTCAGCTCCAGGAGACAGCGTGAATTTACCTTGCCTCTGCCTCTTTGTTCTGTCTGGGCCCTGGCTGTTGGAATAACTCACATGTCTACCACCCTAAGAGTGGGGCTTTCCTACTCAGTCCGTGAACTCACATGCCGGTCTCCTTTTGAAACGTCCTCACAGACACACCTAGAAATGAGCTTTACCACTAATCCAGTTTGACACCTAGAATTAATCAACACATAAGAGAATTGACATTTGCATAAGCTCACCAAATCCCAGTTGGCATGGAATGTCACAGAGTTGTTTTAGTAATGCTGGCATGTGGAGTGGCTTGCATTGCGGAACAGGAGCATAGAGCCCAAGGAACCCAGTTGTTCTATAGTGGGAGTAAGCCTATCTGCTCTGCCCACAGATGGGGGCGGTGCCATTATTTCTCTCTTACTGGACAGTAAGCCAGCCTGCCCTATGCTTTGGAGGGTGTGTGTGTGTGTGTGTGTTTCTGTCTTCCAAGGTGGTTGGGTGCGCAGACTTCTCTGAAAATATAGTGGATTTTCCTGGGTCTTCAAAGGGATAGTTAGCATGAGATTCTACTGTCATTCAGTTCTGCTGCTGTTTCCTATTAGAGTGCACAAATAAACTCCTTTCTGTAGAGTTCACTAACATCCTATGCAAGGAATACTTTGAGGTTTATATATGAAGTGGAAATTTTCTTGTTAGAGCAAATAAAACAAATGTGAGCCTGAGCTGAAGGTGTCATGTATTTTCCAGGAAGAGTGAAAAAGGTCATTGTTTATAATACTTTAGCATAAGCAGCTGAAAGCAACTTTAAGTTGCTTTAATTGTAATTAGGATGCAGCTCTGCCTAGCTTCCATGTTACTTAATCTTACCAGTTCCCTGTAACTCAAAAGGGAATCGGAAACGTGTTGGGTATGGTGATACATACGGATGAAGGGAAGGGAGGTAGGCAGGAGGATCATGCATTGGAAGCCAGATACATACTGAGACCCTGTCCCAAAAACACACAGGAGAAGACAAGGGAGTTGAGTTACATCCAAGTTATAACAACGCCGACTTAGCCTTATTTGGTGTGTTTGAAGGTGCACAAGAATCAACAGTGATGTCATACTTCTCCAAATACCGAATTCAGGAGCATCAGCCCAGAGTGGCCGTGAGCACCGTGAGAGAGCTGCAGTGCCCAGTGCTGCAGAGCAGCTGGATTGCAGGAGAGCCGGAGGAGGCCTGCAGCGCCCCGGAGCTCTTTGACTGGCTTGGCGCTGTCTTCTGCAATGCGGATCTGTGGGTATATGAGCTCTGGAGTTTGTTGCTTGTCTTCAGGAAGAGTTCAGTAATCTGGATGTGGTTATGTCGTGGTTGTAAATACGTTTTTCTTTCCTTTTTATGGCAGAAATAACCAACCTTATAATTTCATATCAACCTACTGCTGTCCCCAGCCAAGCACAGTGATAGCCCAAGCTTGTCTGTGTACAATCACAGGTTTCATACTGCCAGAGAAGATACACGTCCTTCTGGAACAGCTATGGTGAGTATTGACTGTGTCTCTCATTTGTTGGTGCTGCATTGGGGTGTTAAGGACTTTTGTTAGTGTGGTACAAGGCAGAGCCCCTCACACACGTTTATCCTGTTTTTCATTACTTGGACTCAAAAGTATATTAACATTTTAAATGTCATAAGTATTCATTAAAAACAGCAACAACAATAAAAAAAAGACAACTATAATTCTTTAAGATTTGTTTTATTTACATGCACATGTATGAGTGCCATTGAAGACCAGAAGAGGGTTTCAGACCCTGGGGCTGGAGTTGCAGACAGTTATGAGTCCACCTATGTGGGTTCTGGGAAGCAAACTTGGGGTCTCTGAAAGTAAGTGCTTTTAACTACTGGGCCATCCCTCCGGCCCTGGAATATTATTCTTGCTGACAGAGAAGATGCTATTTGGAAGTGCTTAACCCTTGTGGAAAGAGAAAGCAGAGCCTCAGTAGGCCTCTTGAAACAAGCTGCTCATTTTCCTGGTTATGTTTTGAGCCATTTTGATAAATAAATGCACACACTACTTGAAAACACTTCAGTATTCTATGGGACAAATTATGATCCATGTTAAGTTAAAGAATTCTGCAGATCTTTCATTCAGAATTAGGCGGGAACTTGGCATGGTGGTGCACACCTTTAATGCCAGCAATTGGGAGGCAGAGGCAGACGGATCTGAGTTCGATGCCAGCCTGCTTTACATTGTGAGTTCTAGAACACCTAGGGCTACATAGAGAAACCCTAGTTTTTTGGGTTTTTTTTGTTTTCCTTCCATGCTGGGAATCAAACTCAAGGCCTTGAGCATGGTAGGCAAGTGTTAAGCACTACGTCCTCAACCCGGCAAGAATATTACTCTTTGTGGGAAAGGCCAGGGAGATTGCTCAGTGGGTAAGGACACATGAGCCAAAGCTGGCAGCCTGAGTTGATTCTCAGGCTCCACAGAGGACCTCAAAGGTGTCTTCTGACCCCAGCACAGGCATACACACATTTAAAACAAACCAACAAAACCCCACCTAAATAGGAGGGAAACTATTATGTAACTTGGGTGGGGTAGGTTGTTCTCTTGGTCTTAACTGGATTTTCCAGGCTGTAAGAGCTGCTGAAGTTGTTTTCTGACTGTTATGTTAGTTAATCTTTATGGGATTCATAATATAGCACCAAGTATTTAATTCACATAGCCTGGTTTTTATGAATCAAAATAGAGTCTCAGCTTAATTAGATCATCAGAAATACCCCTAGTCCAGGATAATTTCTTTAATGTGGACATTCCTGACCTCTTATTTATAAGAATTTTCTTTCTTTTTCAGTCACTACTTTGATGAACCAAAGTTAGCCCCATGGGTCACCTTGTCAGTTCAAGGCTTTGCAGACAGCCCTGTCTCGTGGAGAGAGAATGAACATGGCTTCCAAAAAGGAGGAGAGCACTTATACAACTTTGTGGTTTTCAGCAATCAGGACTATTGGCTTCAGATGGCTGTTGGGGCATTTGATGACTGTCCACCATAAGAAAATTAAAAGTTAAAACTATGTTTGTTGTCAATATTTCCTCATTGTGGAAGGGTTATGTGTCATCCAGCCTTGTCATAATTCACTTCTCAGATCAGCATTTGCTTACTGTCTATTCTGCAGTGGCCCCTGGGCACTGGCTGCTTGTCCAGTGACTAGCTCTGAGCTGACGATTCTCTTGAGCACAGGGTGTTGCTTACTCCAGAGTAGGGTAAGCTGGAAGATAGGGACCAATAGGATTGGACCAGTTGGTGAGTTTTTAGGTAAAAAGGAATCCTTATCCTTGGCAGGCCCAGTCCCTGTCATGGGCGCTATTCTTACATTCACTGATCTAGTTTGATTTTTTGTTGACCAGAAGCAACTTCTGGAAGGAAAGAACAGGTTACAGTTCATCAGCAAAGGAAGTTGAGGCAGAAACTTAGAGACAAGAACTGAAGCAGAGATCATGGAAGAATGCTGCTTTCTGGCTTGCTCGCCTAGCTTTTTTATATAGCCCAGGACCACCTGCTTAGGAGAGGCATTTCCTACTGTGGACCATCTTCCATCAACCAGCAATCAAGAAAATATCTCATCAAGAAAATATCTCATCGACATGCTCGTGGGCCGGCTGATGGAGGCAGTTCCTCAGGTATAAGCATCTGGCTTGTACCTGACCCAGTCACTGTGGGGCTGGCAGGACAGAGGGAATGGGCTTCGCTCTTGGCGGGGAGGACATTTGGGAGGATATTTAGCCCTACTTCAGTCTCACTAGTTCAAGCTGATAGGACTGTCCTGGTTGAAGGCACAGCAAGAATGTAGGAAGGGCTGGAACGTGGAAAGAAGGACCTTTCCCCTGTGGAGAAAGGCCACCAGGGAACTTCTTCAACATAGGACTAATTTGTCCACACTCCAGTGTGGGTGTACAAGTTTGGGAAGGCATTTCTCAGCAGGACACCAGCTAGCCAGCCCAAGCTTCTTAGGCACCCTCTTCCTCTAAGGGTGAGTAGAAGGTGTGTGTCGGGACAGTGCACTGCTTTATGGAAACAACTTCTTCCTTGATGATGACCCTATTAACAGAACCGAGCGTTTTATGCACTGTCTTATTTTAAGATGGGGGCAGGGGGCTCAAGGGTTGAATTAACACAGGAGACAACACAAAGGCCTGGATTTTGTGAGGTGTGGTTCATTAAGCACCATCAAAACAATGCCTACCATAGGCTGTGTGGATGATAATAGTCCGTATGGCTTAGAAACACCCTTTTCCCTTAAGCTTGCCTGCTGGAGTTTAAAATTGAGCCTACGGATCTTTGCCTATAAGTTGTCTTTCTTTTTTCGTCTCATGTGTCATGAATCCATCCATTTGGCTGAACTTGCTTTTCCTTTTCTATCCATTAAAATCCACACTGGCCTGGGATAGGGGGGTAGGAGAAAATGGCCACAGCAAGCTGAGTGAGCATTGCTGCAGAAATCTACTAGCCTTGTACATGCCATCTGCAGGGGACCCCTGAGAGAAAGCAGCTATGTGAGGACATTCAGCCAGGATCATCAATCCATTGATACTGTACACTCATTCTGGGGAGAAACCAGGTTTTTTTTTGGAGGGGGGCGGATCCTGCCTACTTTCTTTGCTTCCCTCAACTGATGATGAAAGTTAGGGTTTTCCCTTGATTTAGGAAGAGTTCACATCTGGCTTTAATTTCTGATCACGAATTGGCAGCCTGGGACAGCATGTTCTGCTAATCCCAGGGACTCTGGGCTCTTAGGCCTTGATGCTAATTGCCGTCAACTGGGTGAGAGATCCAGGTTAGACTCAGAGGCTAGGATGTATGGTTGTCTCTCGGACTGTGAGCAGCCAGGATTTGTCCTGTGCAGCTTAGACCTCTTGACAGGCCTTCATCTCCTTGTTCCTGTGAGAAAGTTTTGAGCATAATGCCTTCTGAACTTCCAGAATGTTCTCCTTTCTCTCAATTGATAAACTTTGCCCCCGTCCCATTTTTAAATCCATTCAAAATTTCTCAGAACAAAAGCAAAGCCAGTACATTTGATTGAGTAATAACAATGGCTGACATTTCTGGGCAGTCATTGAGTATTCAAGCAAGCCAAGCATTTTAAACACATTCCACCAGTTAATGCCCATGAAAGTCCTTTGGAACAGATGTGACTCACATTTTACAGATAGACCCCACCATGGCCACAGGGTGAAGTAGGCAGTCAAGCCGGAATGGCTCATTAAGTTTTATTCTATACCTGGAGATTTAAAAATTAAGATTTATAGCCAGGTGTTGTGCACTCCTTTAATTTCAGCACTTGGGAGGTGAAGGCAGGTAGATCTCTATGGTTTTGAGACCAGTCCGTTCTACGTAGTGAGTTCCAGACCAGCCAGAACTGTAGAGTGACACCCACATCTGAAAAAAACCAATAACGGTGTTTTTAATCCTTCATAAATACCTTTATTCATTGTTAGATAACAGATTTCCCCCAAATTTAATCACTTAAAACAGCCATTTGTTATTTTTCATGGTACTGCTTATTAATCAGAAGGTTGTTCTGTCTGGCACAATGGTGGCTTAGCTGGTCTTAAGTGGCTCACTCCCACACTCGGAGGGTGGTTCTGGTGGCAGGTTTGGTGGTCACTTGAGACTAATGACCAGAGACCTCTTTGCTCTTTTTTTCTTTTTTTTTTTTAAAAAGATTTATTTATTATGTATACAGTATTCTGCCTACATGTATCCCTGCAGTCCAGAAGAGGGCACCAGATCTCATTATAGATGTTTGTAAGCCACCATGTGGGTGCTGGGAATTGAACTCAGGACCTCTGGAAGAACAGCCAGTGCGCCTAATCTCTGAGTCATCTCTCATTGCTCTTCTGTATGGGCTTCTTGGTAGCTGTGCTTTTTCACATCATGGTGGGCACTAGTAAGGAACATTACAGATAGATAAGGCCTATTGTGAAAGTACTTAAGGATCCAGTTGAAATATTGTTGTTTATGACTCACTGACCAAAGTTACTCTCATGGCCAAGGGTTGAATTGACAGGAGATTATACAAGGGCATGATGAATCTTGGGAGGTGGTTTATTGAGCACCACCAGAACAACAGTTTACCATAGGCTGTATGGATGATATTCTATATGGCTGAGAAACATCTTTCTTTTCCTTTAAACTCACCAGTTGGACTTCCAAATTGAGCTTATGAATCTTTGCCTAATTCTCCTCTTTTCCCCCAGACAGAGTCTCATGTATCCCAGCCAGACTGGCCTTGAACTTCCTATGTAGCTGAGTATGTCCTTGAACTTCTGATCCTCCTGCCTCTACCTTTTGAAGGATGGAATTATAGGCATGTGCCACCATGCTGGTTTTTATGCAGTGTTGGTGACTGAAACCAGAGCTTCCTTCATGCTAGGTAAACACTTGACCAACTAAGCTACATCTCCAAGTCCTATATACACAACATTCAAAACTTTGGTGATGTTCAGAATGCTGAACTGATCAGTAAGTGGCTAGCTCACTTGTAAATTTAATATTCTCTGTTTCAGTTTAATAAGAAAGACGGATGGCTGTCCTAGTTAGCCTCAACAGTCAACTGGATGTGGCCTAGAGTCATCTGAAGGAGTCTTGATTGAGAAATTACCTAAGTCAGATTGATCTATTGCCATGTCTGTGAGAGATTGTCTTGATTGATCACTGATGTCAGAGGGCCTAGCTCACTGCGGGCAGCATCATCCCTAGGCAGATGGATTTGGACGGTGTGGTGGTTTGAATGGGTATGGCTCCATAGACTTTTGTGTTTGAATGCTTGGCCCATAGGGAGTGGCACTATTAAAAGGTATGACGTTGTTGGGGGGAAGTGTGTCACTGTGGAGGCAGGCTTTGAGGTCTCATATATGCTCAAGTTATGTCCGGTGTGGTCCTCAGTTCACTTCCTGTTGCCTGTGGATCAAGATGTAGAACTCTCAGCTCCTTCTCCAGCACTGTATCTGCCTGCATGCTGCCGTGCTTCTCACCAAGATGATACTGACTAAACTTCCGAAACTGTAAGCAAGCCCCGATGAAATGTTTTCCTTTATAAGAGTTGCTATGGTCATGGTGTCTCTTCATAGCAACAGAAATCCTAAGGCGGACAGTGTAAGACTTAGCTGAGCATGAACCTGTGAGCAAGCCAGTGAGAGAACTCCAGCTACATGAGCCAGTAAGCAGTGTTCCTCCATGGTTTCTTCCTGAGTTCCTGCTCTGACTTCCCTCAATAATGAACTGTGACCTGGAAGTATAAGCCAGATAAACCCTTTCCTACCTAAGGTAGTTTGAATAAGAATGGCCCCCATATGCTCATATGTTTGACTGCTTACTCATCAGGGAGTGAAACTCTTTGAAAGGATTAGGAAGATTAAGAGGTATATCACTGGAGGAAGTATATCACTGGAGGCTGAGCATTGAGGCTTCAAATGCCCACGCCAGGCTCAATCTCTGTCTCTCTCTTGGCCTCAAAGAGATGAGCTCTCAGCTGCTGCTCCAGCACCATGGTTTTCTGAAAGCTGTCATGCTCCTTGCCATGTTAATAATGGATGACTAAGCCTCTGAAACTGTAAGCAAGCCCCCAGTTAAATGCTTTCTTTTATAAAGTTTCCATGGTCATGGTGTCTCTTCACAGCAATGGAACACTAAGACACTACCTTAAGTTGCTTTTTTTCAGAGTGTTTTATCACATCAACAGAATGAAAATAGAATAGTGACTATCCACTGAAGTTAGCCAGCTGGAGAGAAGGACAGTCAGAATGTCAGCATGTCCCTGGGATTTCCACCCCATCACTAGGCTAGAAGGTCTGTCTCTGTGGCCTCTTCTTCCTACCCTGTCATGTCATTTTTCTCCAGACAAAGAAGCAACTTAAAGTTCCTCAGACACCAAGCTTTCTCAGACACTTGCTGTCCTTCCTGATGAGGAACACCCCTATGCTCCTTCCATGGGCTGCAGTTAGCAGTTCACATGTGCATTTGACCTGGCCACTCTTGGGAGTCAGCATTGGGGTCAGCCCTCAGGGGATTCTTC